CTGGCAGAGGCCGGAGGACATGACGACTTCAAGGACGGCTTACAAGATCGACCCAAGCCGGCCGGGATCAGACCTCGCCGGCGAGACCGCCGCCGCCATGGCCGCCGCATCCATCGTCTTCCGCCGCTCCAACCCTTCCTACTCCAATGAGCTGCTCCAGCACGCCTACCAGGTAATTGAGTGTCTTCGGCGTATTTTAGCTGTCAACAGTTGAGAAGGCGTAGGTTAGTGGAGTGCGCGCAGTTATTAGGTAGTTAATAGTAGCAGTGAGTGAGGCTCAGCTTTTTTTGTCGGGGAGCCGGTTTTTCTGTCGGTGTAGGTTGGTTGGGTTTTCTGCCCCGCGCATTTATTACGCCAACGGCCCATATTTAGTTCACTAAAATGACACATTTAACCCCACCCTTCCTACTTTATTATTTATCATTTTCCCTCCACAAAAAAAGATATCCATGTCTGCAAGGGCTAACTCAATTAGTTTGGCCAATCATAAATTTTATTTTAGTAATAGTCAAAACTTGAGAAAGATTAATACAACGATTCATAATTTATCTTTTTCAATAATTTTTGAACGCTCCGAGATTTAGGATTAGTCTAACGTAAATTAGAACGTTTAATGTAGGAAAATAGAACATGTTTCAAAATGACAGCTTTAGAATAGATCAATATTTAAATTTTGACGGCGGCTGTGTAGGACTATGGTCAACGTAGACAAATTTCTTGTACGCACCGACATTTGATTCTGTCTATTGGATCATTAAGTCACCGTGATTTACATTCTGTCAAATGTTTTTTTGGGAGAAGCTTTAGTGGCAATGCTGAAATTAAATAGGTTTTGAGGGGTGTAGTAGTATGTAACGTTTTGTTTTTTTTTTGTTGGAAGCGTTTCACGTGTAGTAACCGTCGGTCGTTTTCTAAAAAATTGTGGCATTAATATGTGCAACCTTCCGGGTATAAATGTGGGTTAAATCATTCGGCGTAAACGAAACGGACGTGGTGGGCCGGGAAACAACTTGAGCCGGTTTTCACGGGTAGTTTATTTTGGCGCCGTACGGGATCCACTGCGCTCACCAAATCTCAACCGTCGCTAATAAACGATCCGCACATGACGCTTTTAATGTCACGTGATTGGTGGCTGTGGGTGCTGTTGTACTGTACAATGAAACACAGCCCACACTATTTATTTTCCGTATTCTGCCCCTGAACTTGTCACTTATTACACAATTGTCCCTCATGTTTCAATCTTATTTGGTTTTCAGCTGTTTGAGTTTGCGGACAAGTACCGGGGCAAATATGACAGCAGCATAACCGTCGCACAGAGATACTACCAATCCGTTAGTGGATATGCGGTAAATGTCTCTTCACATTTAATTAATTTGTTAACCATTTATGTAACTTTTTAACATTCTTGAGTTGAGTCGATTATGTGCAATTTAGACTGATTTATTAGTTCCTTTGCACACCCTTAAATAGTAACTGCGAATTTTTCTTTGTCGCTTCTTGGGAGCAACACTAGCCAAGTTAGTTATGTTATTTGGCTTGGTAAACCATAAGGTTTCGAAGAGTGACCTATTGGCCTTTGTTGGCTAGGGGGATTCCCTACCCGCTCACTCTCATTTATGACGGTGTCATATGAATTGATGTAAAATTAAACATAATCGATTTCGCCAAAGACTTTGTGATCGAGCGGCATAACTGTGACTCTCCTAAATGGAATGTCATAGGGTAAACCCCAGGAAAGTATGTATGAACAGATACTACAATGTAACGGAGTCAGAAGTACTAAAAAAAACATAATCGATTTCGTTTTGACTAATTTTATGAAATTTAATTTATAGGATGAGTTGTTGTGGGCAGCTGCCTGGTTGTACAAGGCATCAAACAACCAATACTACCTGAACTACTTGGCCAAGAATGGCAATGCCCTTGGAGGAACTAGTTGGGCAATGACTGAGTTTGGATGGGATGTTAAGTATGCAGGTGTTCAAACTCTTGTTGCCAAGGTAAAAATTGCAACTTTTGACCATCAATATATTTACCTTTGGTTAAAAAAAGTTTTGCAATTTCTTGAACTTATTACTATTGTATCCTAATTCATTTTTGTGGTGCAGTTTCTGATGGAAGGAAAAGCTGGTGGATATGCATCAGTGCTTGAGAGTTACCAGGAAAAGGCAGAGTCTTTCATGTGTTCATGCCTGGGAAAGGGTAACCGGAACGTTCAATTGACTCCGGGAGGGCTCATTTACCACCAGGGATGGAACAATTTGCAGTTTGTAACCAGTGCGTCGTTCCTTCTCACTGTCTACTCTGATTATCTGTCGTCTTCTCGCAAGTACCTCAAGTGTAACTCGGGCTATGTTCCCCCATCTGCAATGATCTCATTTGCTCAGTCACAGGTAAAAAACAACATTGTTTGTGGGGTAATACTATGTATTTTGTTTGCATTATAGTACTATGTTTCTGAATCTGTCTTTCCATTTTATCAGGTGGACTACATTCTTGGAGACAACCCGAGAGCCACTAGTTACATGGTGGGCTACGGGAACAACTACCCGAGACAAGTTCACCACCGAGGCTCCTCCATTGTGTCGATTAAGATTGATCCTACATTTGTTAGCTGCAGAGGAGGGTATGCCACCTGGTACGGTAGGAAAGCCAGTGACCCGAATCTCCTTACTGGTGCCATTGTTGGTGGACCTGATGCTTATGACAACTTCGCTGATGAAAGAGACAACTTTGAGCAGACCGAGCCTGCTACTTACAACAATGCCCCGTTGATTGGTGTCTTGGCTAGATTGCACGCTGGCCGTGGTGGATATAACCAGCTCCTTCCAGGTATATTTACACCCGAACTTCGTTTTTGATGATTCGAGTGATTTTTTTGCAGTAATTTGCCTAAACAAGATTACGTTTTTCTTGTAGTTGTTACTCCTCAACCCAAGCCTACTCCCAGATGGAGACCAACTCCAACTCCAGCTCCAGGTATTGTTTATTAGACTAGCTAATTGATTGGATTCAGTCTTTTAGTGTGGTTTGACTCATGTGCATTATAGCCCAATTGAATGACTTGGCTCAATCTTATGGTTGAAAAGTGTTGACAAGAAATCGAATTTTGTGATGTTCAGCATCAGCTCAAATTTGGGTTCAACAGAGGGTGACAAAGTCATGGGTTTATGGAGGCAAACTATACCACAGATACTTGGTAAGGGTGACCAACAAATCTGGAAAGACTGTCAAGAATTTGAAGCTCTCCATTTCCAAGCTCTATGGCCCTCTCTGGGGTCTTTCAAAGTATGGGAACTCCTACTTCTTCCCATCATGGCTCACCGCTCTACCGGCTGGAAAAACGCTCAAATTCGTGTACATCCACAGCGCCTCCCCGGCTCAGGTCTGGGTATCAGGCTACAACCTGCTCTGAAGAATCCCCAGAAACGAGAAGAAACAGAAGTTCCAAAAGTGGAATTAATGTAAGAATTGTGCAGCCATATACATTGACGCAGTCGAGGATGCCCTTTTTCTTCTTCCAGTCTGTTGTTTACTGTCTGCTGTATTTTTATAATTTTAAAGTTGTGGGTGGTGGGTGGTTTGCAGTTAGGTAAAGATTTGAGTGAAAGACAAGAATGGGGAAGAAAGGAGTGAAGAGAGGAATTTAAAATGAGTGCTCATCCTCTTTCTTCTCCACTTTGCTACTTTGCTAGTGAGACATATATACTTATCTGAGAGACACAGGGAATGAGTGTTGAGAAGTTTAAGGCAAAAAAGCTGACTTCTCAACCAAAATCTAGTCTTTAATTTGGTTTCATGGTTCTTTGCCCTTTTGGTGTTGTAATGTTGTAAGCTTTACAACATTTTCTGCTATCAATCAATATATATAAATTTATATGATTATATTTGCACTACTTTGAGCACATCAAATCCTTCTGTTGTGATGAAATATGTAAATTTTGTTTTTACATATGCTAGACTAGGAGCAAGAAAATGAAAACACCCATTAGCCATTCTCCTAATCTTTCCCATTTTGGCATTTTCTACCACTTTTCTTTTGAAAATATTTACGTTACTATGTACTTTAACAAGGATACATAAATATAATTTTACAAAGCACACTACATTATAACTGTATTGTAAAATGTTCCTTTCCGCTTTCAAATTTAAGTGGAATCTTTCTTTGTATTTTAATTTTTTTAAACAATCACATGATTTGAAAGCTTTCAAACTAATAAAAGGCTGCCAATACTTGCTTGAGTGAAAAGGGGTGCGAGGTCTAACTGGGGAATAAGTCGAGGGAGTGCTTAACTGGAGAATAAGTCGAGGGAGTGCTTAACTGGAGAATAAGTCGAGGGAGTGCTGTGGTTAGTGAGTAATGGATGCTGGTGCTGTGGGGATGGAGGGTGCTTGTCTACCTCGTGAAGCCGAAGTTTTGGTGGTTCGGGAAGTCTTGAGTTGGCTTTAGGGGCATAATTATGATGGTTTTACTCTTGAAATGAATGCTCAATAGCTTGTCACTCAACTCCATAATGCGAATATAAACGCCTTATGGTCTACTTCTACAAGATATTAATGTTTGTTTATCTTTATTTGCAAATGTCAATTCTCGTTTTGTTAAGCGCTTTGGTAATGTTGTTGCTCATTTATTAGCTAGAGATGCTAGTATGTTTTTTGGTAGTCGGTTTTGGTTTAATACCGGTCCCTTGTTTAGTTCACGTGCTGTGTAATGACTAGATGATTGTATAAGAATTTTTGTGTTTTGTTAAAAAAAAAAAAACAAAAAAAAAGGTTGCCAATACTTTTATATTTTTTTACATTTAAATTTAAATTTTTACTTGACACTTTTCACGAATAAGCGGTTCACTACTTCACTATAATATAAAAAAATAAAATAATTATGTTTGATATTTCATTTAAAACAAAGTCAATCATGGGCTGTATTAAAATAATAAAATAAAACAAGCTCAATGGTTTAGTGGACAGTATTTGGTATAAGAAAATAATAAAATGAAAGAAAAAAGAAAAAATGTATATAAGATGATAATCTTGCTGGGCACGTATGCTTGGATTCGATTTAAGAGGGTCAAACACTGCTTATTTTGATCAGAGGGCTGGATAGTGGATATAACCAGAATTTTAAAAAATATTTTGACAAAAGGAAGGAAAAAAGACACAAGCACGTCGCTATGGCGAAGCTTAATTCGTCGGAATCGATGAAAATTGACAGTCGATTGGTACGGATGTGCATCGAAGCCGCCACTGAGAGCCGCGACGCCATCGAGGCCTGGCGGAGACAGCGGCGCACTCTGGAGCGCTTGCCTTCTCAGCTTGCTGACGTTCTCCTCCACCGCCTCCTCCGCCGTCGCCTCCCCTTCCCTTCTCTGCTCGAGTACATCTCTCACTCGATTCATTTCTCTATACTTTTTTTTTTTTTTTCAACTGCGCATTTCAAAATAGTATTCATAAGATTAATTGATATGCGATGTCAATGTGAATTGAGCTCTATATTGGTTCTGTGTAGTTTTGCTAGCTCAAAAGAGTGGCTTATTCCTGGTTTTTCCATGTATTATGCTAAATATAGCTGTAATGACTATTTCGTTGATCCTGGATTTGATCTTCAGTCAACTTATAATTGTATTATTCATTTATTTTATTTGCTAATGATATCAGATCTACATGATAAAACGCCGGAAAACTGTTATACTATATGTTTGGAAGTTACTTTTAACTTCTTTGTTTGGAAATTGACTAGCAGTGCAGCTCTAAGATTCATATCTGCATCCAATTTTGCTTATACAGAGTCTTTAAACATTGTGTGGAAGAAGTAAATTTGAAAGGCGAGAATAGTGTGGATGCAGAATGGATGGCCTATTTAGGTGGCTTCCACTACTTGCGCACTCTGAATCTGTCAGATTGCCGAAAAATCAATAGTTCCTCTATATGGCCTATTACAGGTCTGTACTTTATAGTAATTCTTAAATGATTAAATTAGACATTTTTCTTCCTCCAACGAATGTTGATTATATTCTCTCTTGATTATCTTATTCTGTATCTCTGTGCTGATGTTTATTTTCTTGATATCTTTTGCTTCAACTCAAACTTGTCTTTTTCATTAAATTGGACTGATAACATTGTTGTGCTGTCCAAGGATGCTATTGTCATGATTGATTATCTTTGCACTCTAAAATATTTGCTCACACATTACACATTTTCATTGTTTCAGGCTTGACAAACTTGAAGGAACTTGATCTCTGTAGATGCTCAAAGATTACTGATGCTGGAATCAGGCATCTTTTATCTATTCCAGTGTTGGAGAAGTTGTGGATTGCAGAAACAGGTGTAACTGCAGAGGGAGTTATACTTCTCCGTTCGCTAACCAATTTATCTTTATTGGATTTGGGAGGATTGCCTGTAACTGATGTAGCTCTGCGTTCTCTACAGGTAAATTAATTCTTGTCTACATACCATAAATAGCCTTTTCATCTTTCCTTTCGATATTTGTCTTTTGCAAAGAATTACTCTTTTGTTTTCATTTTTTAAAATACCCTGGTGGAGGAAGGGAAGTGGTGAGATTGGTTGAGGATAGCCTCTATTTTAAGAAGGTGGGTGATTAATAGAGTTTCACATCTTACGAGGGAACATCCAACTTTAGAAAATGGTTAATGCAATTTATAAGTTCATCCGAAGTGGCTAGCATTAGTTGGATGAGGTTGGTAACTAGTAAAGCCCAAAGCTTATTCCTATTGCTGTTTAGGAAATGCCAACCTGCTTTCAAAAAGGAAATGCCTGCATAATGCTACTTACTAGGGATGGCTATTGAAGCTTTCAGAAGCTCACATTTGATCTAATTTTCTGAACTTTTGATGAAGTACATAAAACTGTTTAATAAAAAATAAAAATAAAAACCTTATATTCTCCTGATCTAAAGATTTGTTTCCTGTTTTCTGTTTGGGAATAATGACTTTAGTTTATGATATCAGGCTCTCACTAAACTGCAATATTTAGATATCTGGGGAAGTGCATTATCTAACAAAGGAGCTTCTGTTCTTAAAATGTTCCGGGGATTGAGTTTCTTGAACTTAGCTTGGACAAAGGTTACAAGTTTGCCAACTCTGCCCTCTCTTGCTTACCTGAACATGAGTAATTGCATTGTAAATTCTATATTTGAAGGAGAAGGTGGTAAAGTGATGCTGGAAAGACTTATTCTATCTGGAGCTACAATCTCAGATGGCTCTGAAGCCTTTCAATATGTAGAAGCCTCTCGCTTGGCTCTTCTGAATTTGTCCAACTCTTCTCTTCATTCGTTCAGTTTTTTGAGGTGTATGAATGCCATAACAGAACTAGATCTCAGTGGTTGCTGTGTGGGAGATGATTCTGTTGAATACATTGCATGCATTGGAGCAAGTTTACGATATTTAAATCTCAGTAAGACAAAAGTAAGCTCAGCTGGAGTGGGTACCTTAGCTGGACATGCTCCTAATCTTGAAACTTTGCTGTTGTCTTACACTGTCATTGATGATAATGCCATTGCATACATCAGCACAATGCCATTACTAAAGTTTATCAGCCTAAGTGGTACAAATGTTAAAGGTGCTGCATTTATATTTCTTCTCGTCTTCTTCCTCAATTGCAATTTAATACTGTCTAGTTGTTGAAGTTAAACTTCGAGTGAATTTCTGAATGTCTTCCTTTATACGAAATACATTTTAAAAATCACTGTGTTCGGATCTCTCTGTCTAATACATGAATTTCTCCTATAATGCCAGGTCTCCTTAACCATGTGGGATATGATAAAGATTGGTACTTATCACTGTCAGCATTTCATAGTCTAGAACACTTAGAAAGGTTGGAGTTGGAGGAGACTCAAATTGAGGACACAGCACTATCCCCTCTATCGAGCATCTGTAAATTGGGCTATTTATCTTTACGAAGTGGACCCCTAACGGATGCCTGCTTGTATCATTTATCACAAATTAGAAACTTGGTAAATCTTGTGGTTCGTGATGCTGTGCTAACAAATGCAGGGCTGTATACCTTCAACCCCCCATCAGGTCTAGAGATGCTTGATCTGAGAGGGTGCTGGCTCCTAACAGATGATGCTCTCTTGTCATTTTGTCAAAAACACCCTTCAATTGAAGTGAAGCATGAGCTTGTCAGCACATCCCCGTTTGACAAAGCTGGATCTCATCACTTATCTCCATCACAGCTTACCTCAAGGAACTCAGAATACAAACACAAGCACAATAAACTACCCTCGACGCCACTTAGGTTCAAAAACGAGAGCTTCATTGGTGAGAGGTCTTCAAAATTTTTATACTGGTTTTAAGTGGTTATTTTCCTGTCTAATACTCGGTTTTTATGATTCCCAACAGATCAAAGACTGAAGTACAGCAGAGATGAACTACTAGCCATGAGCTTTGTGTCTTCAACATCTTCTCCTTCCAATGCCGGCTGACGTCAATCTGATACCTGATTTGCTTGAATAACATGAAGTTTGGCTTGATGTGCCTTAGTTCTGTGAATAACATGAATCTGCAGATCTAAACACATCCCCCCTCCCCCCCCCCTCCCCCCCCCCCCCCCCCAAAAGAAAAAAAAAAAAAAAGAAAAGGAGAGAGGAAAGACCTCTAAATTCTGTAAAAGTTTGTGTAAAACATGAAGTTTGACACATTTGTAGCCTTCTTTATCAAATTCATTGTGTAGTTCCCCTGATGGAACCATGCATAGCACTGAATAGAGGGCCATCGAATACACCAGCTACACCTAGCATATGAAATGGGTGCGTAAGAATGTTGTGCTTGGCCTGGAATACAATCATGAAATTGAAAGTTTTAAATTTTTTTGAAGGCATACCATTAATACTTCGAAACCATTTTAAAATAGGCAGAAGGGTCAAATAGACCCATGTACTAACATTAATTGTTCATCTAGTATCATGAATTAAAATATGGTCCATCTAGGTTATTATACTCTCAATTATTTTTCATCTAGCATTTTTAGCAAGTTTCTAACAAGTAATTCATCTAATTTGCTTACATAGAAAAAAAAAAATGCTGACATGTTATTTTTATCTAACTTGTTGTTTTTGTCATTTTTTTTTTAATGTAGAATCATTTTTTTTTTTTACGTATTTCCGGATTATGTTGATTTTTTTATATGGCTTGAAAGATTCTAACTCATCTTCTGTTGCGAATGTTGAGTGTGAAAGTTCCGTATCTACACTCAAAGGAATTCGGTTAATTAAGTTACACTTCAAACATTAAATCAAAAGTCGTGTTAGTTATTAGGCTGTAAACCCAGAAATTTTAACAATTGCAAGGTGACATGGCATGGTTATGTGTAAAAAAAGTTTTTTTTTTTTTAATTTGTTTTTGTTTCCCACATGTCTTGCAAGCTTTCTGTTTTAGAAAGCTTGCTAAGAGCATCCCCATAAGAGGATAATATGGGGATAATAGTACAGAATTATGCAGCTCAAGATATGGGAGAAGGGAAGAATGGAGAAAATAATTCTCTTGCAAAGAGTGGGAGAATGACCAAAAAAAAAAAAAAAAAAAAAAAAAAAAAAAGAAACAGCGTAGTTCCGCGCGTATCGCGAAACTGAGGAGAACTGCACGCGCCCGAAGGCGCGCCTGACGCGACTAATTTCCTTGAATTTTTTTTGTTTTAAAAATCAGTTTTGGGTTTTTTTTTCCCTCCCCTTCCCACATTCTCTCTCCTAATCACTCTTACATTATCCCCCAAATCTCCCCAACTGATGCGGATGCTCTAAGTACAATGACATCTGCCAAATGGCACTTTGGCAGCAAAGCTGTACGCTTTTTTACTTTTTCTATTTTAATATTATTACTATTATATATGTATTTGTTTATTTTATTGGAAGTGGGACCCATTTTTTAAAGTGAGAGAAATTTGTAGGGATGTATAAGAGCATCCACACTTGTGCATATTGTGAGGAGATTTCAGCATTAATTCTTCCCTACATGAGATAATAACTAGTGTGGAGGGGAGATAATTGAAAAATAATTATCCTGCAAATGTGAGGATATTGTCAGGAAAAAAAAAAAAAAAAAAAAGGAGGAGGAAGGCTGTGCGCGTTCGCGCACAGCCTTGGGCAAAAGCCGGGCGCGTGCAGCGCCTGACGCGTCTGATTACTTTTTTTTTTAATTTTTTTTTGTTTTGTTTTTTTTTTCTCTCCCCTCCCACATTCTCTTTCCTAATCACTCTTACATTATCCCCCCATTCTCCCCAACCAATGTGGATGCTCTAAGAGCATCCACAATGGTTGGGGAGAATTGGGGGATAATGTAAGAGTGATTAGGAGAGAGAATGTGGGAAGGGGAGGAAAATAAAACAAAAAAATCAAAATCTAAAATTAAAAAGCAAAAAATAAAAATAAAAAAATTGAAGGGTCAGGCGCGCGTGCAAAGCACGCGCCCGTGTGGGCTGGTTGCTGTGCGCAAAACGCGCACAGCAACCCCCTTTTCTTTTCTTCCTCTTTCTTCTTTTCCTGCCATTCTCCCCCATTTTGCAGAACAAATATTTTGATAAATAACCCCACCCCACATTTGTTATTATCCCCACCCAAGATAATTCATCTGACATTATCTCCATAATATCCACTGATGTGGATGCTCTAATGAATAGTGGAGAATTTGTAAATTTGATGATGTGAAAGTGAGACTCATTTTAGAAAGTGCGATAAATTTTTGGGATGAGAATAACCTTATATCTCAAATGAAGAGCAATATACAGATCGTCGTTGTCCCTTAGTCTATTAATAACCAGTTTTTTTCTAAACTCCTCAATCTCAGGTGTCTACCGAAGAGTCTCATAAACGCACCATCTAAAACCAAAATAAAAACCAATGCCAATGCTAACAAATGGGTTCAAAAACCACAAAAGCGGTAACATACTTATTTCACAGCCGATGTGAAAAATCAATTCACTGTTTTTCTGAAAAATTCGTAGAAAAAAATCAACATAATATGAAGATACATAAAAAAAAAAAATTGATTTTTTCTACCCAAAAAGTGACAAAAACAGCAAGTTAGATGAAAAAATAACATGTCAACATTTTATTTTTATTTTATTTTATTTTTCTATATAAGCAAATTAGATGAGTTACTTGTTAGAAACTTGCTAAAATTGCTAGATAAAAAATAATTAAGAATATAATGATCTAAATGAACCATATTTTAATTCATGATACTAAATAAACAATTAATATTACTACATGAGTCTATTTAACCCTTTCTGCCTTTAAAATAATACTCCATATTATCTCGTTGTTTGTTTATCATGTTGATGGATAATGATAACAAAAATATTCCATATTACGTATATAATAATATATTATTTGTTGGATACACAATGGCACAATGCTATTTGTATCAAGTTTACATGATTGAATATTCTATAATAAAAAATCGTTATAAAAAAATAAATTGTATTTGATACTAAAAACAAAGTCAATTGCTAATTACTATGTAATATGATAACATATATATTACCATTCTAAATGAGTAATTACAAAATAGAACTCTGATGACGAAAAATATTTTATTTATTGAAAATCATGAGTGTTTTAAAAACAAAAATAAAGTCAATCATGTGAGTTGTATTAAAATAATAATATGAGAAGATATTTTTTAAATAAATTCTAAACTATACATTTTTATTTAGTTTTGATTTATAATTAGCTGATTTAGTAAAGTATATTGGTGTTTGGTAAATGACTGTTAGCTGTGATAGCTGTTAGATGATTGAGTTGGTGAGTTTCATTAGTTGATAATATTAGCTGATTGTAGAAAAGTGTTTGGTAAATTAGCTGTTAGCTAATAGTTAATTACATACAAAATGAATTTCTCAAAAAACTTATCGAAAAAACTATTTTAAGCAACTTTTTAAATTTTAGTATTTTCGAGCAATAAATTTTTACAAATAGTTAATTAATCAAATAATCATATTGATTGTTTACCAAGGTCAAAAAGCTAATAGTGGTCAAATAAGTCAAAATTGATTAGGCTAACTATTTTACCAAAGAGGACTATGTTTTTTTTTTTTTTTTCCTATACTACATTATGTCTTTTATTTAGAAAAAAGTGTCAAATCAACTCTCTAAGTAATTCGGATAGTGCAATCAGCTAGGTTCCCTAAATAAATAAAAAAACTCCATTCAGATCCCCTAAACTTGTAATTCAATTGAGTCCAAATCAACCTGTATAGAGATTAATTATCTCAAGCTTGACACGTGTTACTTTTAAAATATTTTTTTTAAAAATTTTTATTCTCTAAAAAACTTTTTATTTATTTATTAAATTATTAAAAAAAATATAAAAATAGTTTCAGCCACCGTGAAGCCGGAACAGAAGCTGATCAAACCGCCCAGCCTCACTCCAGCTCCTTCTCTGGAATCTCTCTCTCTCTGTAAGTTACCCACATTGTATATTGTTTGAATCTCCATTTACCCATTTCTAAGCTTGATACTTTTATTTATACATTTTTTTAAGACTATAATTTGACCTAATTTCTTCAGTTCTTCAGTTTTCTTGTGTTATGTTAAAGTATTTTGAAAGTTTTTGAATCATCAGGATTTCAGTATAAGTTCATCGTCTTTTTCTCTCTTGAGCAACGAGCGGGAATTAGCGCCTTCGATATTTACAAAGGCGGACTCAGACAATGTGAATTTTTGGTAATTTTTTTTCAGTTTTCCGAATGTGTATTTTCTGATTTTCTATTTTCCTTGATTTTTTAAATGTTTTACGGATGTGTATTCATATAATAAGATGCATATTTGACTGGCAATTGAACTGTTACGACTTTGATTTCATGATATTTGAATCCTTGATACAATGATATGCATATATTTTTCTGGGCTGTCAATTTGATGGAGGATTTAGGTCTGTAAGTGCAGCAGATTTGACTGGGAATGGAACTTTTATGACTTTGATTTGTTGATATTTGAATCCTAAACTTCTAGTAAGGGTGTAAGAAAAATTATGTTCATTGAATATTAGGACAACTATGTTTTATTGAAGCTAGAGTTGAATGGTGAAGAACAAAAGAAGAGAATGCTTAAAAAGGGAAGTTTTGGAATACAAGGATGTAACAGTAATGGGGAACCTATTAGTTAAAGATGTACAGATAATTCAATGAAAACCTCAGTATGTGTTTGAGTGATTAAGTATTGATAATAATTTTAATAGGCTTTAGTAATCTAAAAGGTCATCAGAACTTACTAGGATTGAAGTTATTTAATAGAAATATACTCAAGGGTTCATGGTGGATTTAGCACATTAGGGGACTTAATGGAGACATCAAAATCCATGCAGTCTATGCAATGAGAATTGGATTAAGGTGCAGTTAGTTGAGTTGAGAAGATGGTTAGGCTATTAAATTCTGTAAAATTCAACATTTCTCAACTCAACTGTTCTCTGTTCACAAAAGCATCATATATATATATTTTTTGGAAGTTTAGATTTTTCTCAGTAGTCTTTTGGGCCTCTGGCAGAAAATCCCAGAAACAAATGGTGTCAAACATAAAAGATCAATTAGGTGAATAGAGGGGAAAACAAGAGAGATGGTAATTTTATAATGAATGATTGACTCATACATGACATTAAAGGACTCAGAGTAATTGTTTCTCCTTGAATGAGTTATATCATTATTATTTAAAAAAATATTTAAGCCTTGCTTTGTTCTGGTTAAATTGTGAGTTTTTATTGAAACCCATATTTGAAATTTACCAAACTTACACTTTTAAAGGCACAATTTCTAAGAGAGTGCACTACAAGAAAAATGCTAAACAACACTCAAAAGACAATGGTTTTAGCTAAACGTGTTCTTTTAGCACACGCTTTTTACAAAGACAACGATTTTAATGCAACTGGTTTTTTTTTGCATGTTCTCTTTTTACAAAATTTGATATTTCGTTAATAGACAACACTCCAATGACAAAAATTTTAGAAAATTTTTGTTTATTAGCGCAATTTTTAATAAAAGACAACAGATTTGATATAATGGTTGGCTTTGAACTATTGTCTATTTTCACTACACTAGTTGTCATTTTCAGGTAATATCTTATATGTTCAAGCTGAAATTCTTGATTGATTGTTGAAGGTATTATTCCCATCTCATACTATGAATTTAAAACTAGGGTTTATATTTATACTATGTGAATCTGTATTTTTTTTCTCTAAATATATATTTCTTTTTTGTATGATTTTTGAATTATTCATTGAGGTTTTTGTGGATTTTTAGCTGTTAATATTGTTAGAGAATTTAGATACCAAACTACGGAGTAGTTGCTTCCTTAACTTCTAGTTAGTGATGCCCAGTGGGTGTTTGTTGAAATGCCTCAAAAGGACACCCTTAACTGCTATGGACATTTTAAGATTTTAATTCTTCTCTTGAATGTAAAATAAAACTGTGGTTTATTTGAATGTGACAAAAGTATGTTCTTGATATCACTTCTTTTATTGTTAGTTATTACACTTACGTTCAATTGCCTAGTGTTTTGTATTGATACCCTCATATCACTATATGCTCCAATGATTTTTAGTGTTCTCTATCTTTGTTAATACTGGAACTTGAGTATGATAATATTTCTTGGGCTCAGTGGTTTCATATCTACATTCTCAAACTTAAACTTTTGAAGGCACAATTTCTAAGAGAGTTTCAAATTGCCAATTAGTTCATGTTATGTATTATGCAACAATATTGCTTTATGAGTCTAGTTTGTCATAACTAATAAATATTGTCTTTTAAATCTCAATGTGTTTTTTTATTTGAACCGTTTTGATTTTTAAAGATGTTCTTTACTTTTTGACCTCACTGAACAAAATTCATGCATCCGCCATGGCTTTGCTCCTTTTTTCCCCATTTAATTGAAGAAAATTGATCCCATTTTGCTCGTGAACAAAACATTATGATTCCAAAGGAACACCATAATTCTCAGGATCTTCCTAGGTATTTGAATATGATTCTTAGGAAATCCGAGTACTCTAGAACAAGGCGCAACCTTCTGTACCCGACCCTCCCATCTATTTTACAATTACTTCTTTTTTTTTTTTTTTTTTTTCCGTTAGTGGATTCTTTTTCTTGAAATTTAATTGGTTCTTTTTCTCACATTTGTTTATTTATCTATTTATTTTTTATTTTTCTCTGATTTATAGAGGAAGTCTCAATGGGTTTGAGTAAAACTGAAGTTAATTTGAGGAGACTATTAGCAACTGCGCCACAACAACAAAATCAAGCAAAGCTCATACATGTATGTCCACAGCTCTTTCATGTTGAGTGTTTGGTATTGTCATTTGACATCAATAATGAAAATTATTAACTACTCCCTCTGTCCCATTTTGCATGTCTTACTTTCCTTTTTAGTTTGTCCCAAAATGTTGTCCTCTTTCCAAAATTGAACATCACCATCATTCTACTTTTTCCCAAATTACCCTTATGACTTTTGCTTTTATTTCCAAAAGTGAAAAAGTGAAGGGCATAATTGGAAAATATATAACATTTACTTTAATTCCTTAAAAAACGTGCAAAAAGCAAATGAGACAACCAATTCGGGACGGAGGGAGTAATTAGTTAGCCTATTTTCTCATTTTTGGCAGTTCTTTGAACGCACATGCTTACTGGAGTTATTTTATGATGCTTTACTATATATTGGAATAGCTTTGGTCTGTGGAGTGAAATTATTTTTAGTGTATATTTATAACAACAATAATCATTCCAGGTGTCTTTGATGTAATGGCTAGGGTATTTTTGTTCCTGGAAAGAGATTAGGTATGAAATTCTTTGAGAAGAAAAGGATTTCTACTCCAATTGTTTAGAATTATTATTATGACTCTTGATGCATTTCTAGTAAGTTAAAAAAGAAGATTGTTCTACCAAGAATTTATGTAGAAGGTTTTTTTCTGCCAAAAGTTACAACCTCGTAGAATCTAGATAAGTAATAATTACAATTAAAGTTTCATATCTTGGGATTATAGATTAAATAATAGAAAATCACCTTTATAAGTTATTGGTAACTTTTAGAAATATCAAAAGAGAAAATTAATAATGAAGTTTATTGGCAACTTTAGTGTCATTTGTCAAAAGGGGAAAATTTGTAATTTATATTCAGGAAAACCTTTCTTTTATTACCTGAACTGTGTTTAAATATTTTCTTATAGTTGCTAAATTTTTTATAGTATGTTGCCACATTGCGAGAACAATTGGAGCAGTTGGCTGAAGAAAGGACTCCAGAAGGACTGCCCAGGTCTGTATGCTTACCATTTTAAACTCAATTTCAAATACTTGATAGAACAATTTTTATACCCATGATGGCTTTAGGTTGTCTTTTCTGAATTTATCATGAATCTGTGAATTGACATCAAAATATAGTTTTTGTTTCTGAAGAACTCATAGTGTATACTATTAGGAAACCTTCACTCTGTGGAATATAGACCAAACACAAACACACATCTATTTGACTGTGTGTGCATGTGTTGAAATTTACAAAAATAATAATTATCCTATATATTAAGTCCTCGTTGCATGACCAACTTCTAGATAATTCTCTATTTCTCTATGGTTGATCCTATCTTGGAGTTTTATTGCTGTAGTCTTTTGCTTTTGGCTTGCCTTTTTAAGGTTTATTTTGTCAGACTTTTGCTTGCTTTCTATAGGGTTTCCAAAGCCAAGGTGAACGAATATTCAGAGAAAATCGAAGCTATTGCTGCTAAAGTGGCTGTCACTGTGGTGTGTATACCTTCCAGCCCTTTCTTCTTCTGTGAATTTTCTATGTTAAAATATTCTTAGCATCTGACTGAAGTCTGTATGATTAAGCTCACAACGTCCTTTATCCTTAAAAAATTATTTTCCTTACTTTTATTATGGATTGGCTTTTCTGATGACCTTTTTTATTCATGCCAAAATCATTGTCCTTGTACAGGAGGAACCTCAGAGCCCTCTGGCTGACGTATATAGTGCTGAAACTTGTAAAGCAGAGGGAGAAAGTGCACATTCTCCTACTGGAGGATTGAGAAGAAGATTTGCGTGTGTGAATATATAGTTATGGAAATTGTTTTTATATTCTATTTTTGCTTTTGATTAAGTATTAATATTCAAGTGAAATAGGCCACCATCAAATGCTAAGGATACATCTCAAGAGAAGGTGGGCGCTGACCAATCTGCTCCCGTCAAACTAGATGATGCTGCATGGACGCATATTGATAAGCACAGGTACAGTTTTGCAGGCACATGTTTTAAGTTATTCTAGATAGATCTTTCTTCATACATGCGGTTGCTGAGTTTCTGCAAAAATGCAAAGAATAAATTAAGGTGACGTTTGGTTCGGGACTTTTGTACCCTACTATAGATTTGATACACATTACCATGTTTGTTTGTTTGCCTACTTTTGTTATCCCACTATTGGATTTAAATCCCTTAGTAATCATAAAACTCATTACCCTTTTCTTCCCCTACTTTTGAGCAATGGAATAAAAAATGAGGAAGAAAAAAGAAAAGAAAAGGTCATTGTCTATGCATTCAATATGCAACTTTAATATATACACACATATATGTATGTGTATATATATGTATTATACATTTTTATATATTTGTTTATTTTAATTAATTAATTATTTATTTGTTTATTTTGATTCCAGTTTCTATTTGTTACCAAACGAAGAGACTCCTTCTACTTAAACAACCATTACCATTACCAAGTATTTAATTCCAGTTACCATTCTGATTCCAATGTTTGAACCAAACGCCCCCTAAGAGAGCAAGCATTTTGGACATTTTTCCATTTATTATCATAGTTTAGGCTAGTTGAAGAGTTAAGAGCACATTGGAAATCTATTATGCTCTTGTCCTCTTCATCTTTCTGGTTGGAATGATGACTATTTTTCCTGGTGACTATTGTTTCAGAAGTCTATTAATCAATCTAATAAGAAACTTGCCGAAAGGCTAAACTCCTGTTGGACCCCTAAGTGAAGTAATTTCTTCTTCAAAGCAAGATGTTAACTTGAATTCTTTGAATGATTTTGCTTGGTAGTCGTTTTGTGGTTAAAAATTATCCTTTTCCACGACACCTCTAAAGAATGCTTCCTTGAAGAACTAGAATTCTCAATTTCTCATGCAAGTCTCTGGTGTTTGCAGATGATGTAAAATAACATGTACAAAGTAAAATATTTCGACACCGATTGATGTTAGTGCTGAAAATGCATTGGACCACAAAGCTATATTGAAAATGTGTCAACTGTTTTATGATTTTGTTGTGTAATATGATAACACTTTCAGGAAACTTCAGGAGAGCCTGACAGATGAAATGGTTGTCTTGGCACGACAGCTGAAAGAGAGTAGTCTCATGATGAATCAATCTGTAAAAAACACAGAAAAAGTAAGCTTTCTTGCTTCTTGGTGTTGAAATGTTGTAGTACATAACGATAACTCTTCAAGGGAAGTGTTCTTATATATAATTTGTAGTCTAACAAGCTTGGTGCATTGTTTGGGCACACAGATACTTGACTCAACCGAAAAAGCAGTTGAGAATAGCTTGGCAAGTACAGGGCATGCTAGCAGTCGTGCCATGGAAGTTTATTCACGGAGTTTCAAGACGACATGCTTCACATGGCTCTTGATTTTCTCTATGACATGCATTTTTATCATGGTCGTACTTCTCATTCGTGTCACATAGCATCATGCTCCTTCGCCATAAGTCTCAACCTACTTCAACTTCTTGTGATTTTACACACCTGAAAACCTCTGGGAAGTTGTATATTGAGAGTTGGTAGAAATTTGTATTGTTGGCAACATCACAGGAAGTAGCAGACTAGTAGTAACACAAGGCTATTATAAGACTGGAAGAATTGATTTTGATGAAACATTTGTTGCAGTAGCACGTAACGTTTGGAACCCATATTGCTATTTCATAGGATGGAAAACTTAATATATCAAAGCAACTCGCAATTTACCTTCTCCAGCATCCTTAAACAGGAGTTTTGGTGGCTTAAAATTAATCTAGCCTAAGTTGGAAAACTTAATACGGAGTATATCAAAAAAAAAAATTCTTCACTAAAGCCTACTTTTGACAAAAATTAACAAAGTGGAAGACAAAAAGGACAAGCATTATTACCTAAAACCAAGAAACAAATATTGGTTAGAATCTTATTTTACTAAGAAATTTAGAAAGTGTTGAAACTCCTATATCTGCATCATCATCATGATCATCACGTATATTGCGGTTAAAAAACATATAACCCAGAAAGGAACAAAGACACAAAATTATTGAATACCTAACTACAACAGCCATTATAATAAAGAATGCAGCATTTTTTTTGCCTGCTATGCACTATAGGGAAATTAAAAAAAAAAAAAAGAAAAAAAAAAGAAAAAAAAAGAGCAGATTATAGTAATTTCTTTCTCCGAGTTATCGCCTCTTCTTTCCTTTCTTCCTTCCTTTCACTTCTTTCTCTAAGCTTCTGACCTTCTGACTGAGAAGCGCAGTTGACTGTGTTGACTGTATCTGTTGGCTCGCAGTTTTGGTTGCTTCACCAGCTGCTTGTTTCGCTTCATACTCTTTAGCTGCTGCGAGCTTCTTAACCGCTTCAAAAAACGGGAGTCCTGAACTTTGATCAGCGCGTGGAGGTGCCGGGGGTATTATAGGTACACCGAGGAGTTTCTTCACCTTAGGCCTTTTAATTACTGATAAAACAAGGTAAAAGAGAAAATATTGTTACCCAAAAGCTTGGCCTGGCAAGGCATCTTCAGAAATGTAAATAGATAAATTTGTAGAGCAAGTAAACTCACCCAATCCATATGAGAGCGAGAAAATATTGGAGGTAATCCAGTAACAGAAAACCGCCTGTGATAAAAGTTCCCATTGAGGTGACAAGAATTTTTATCAAGAATTTCAACCAAAAGTTTATATAACTATCGTCGAATTGTTTTGTGCAACAAAAAGTCTACGAACGTACCTTTGGGAAACTTGCAGTAAATGGGATTGACAGTGCGGCCATTGCTCTTGAAACATTTTTTATGGTGCCATACGAAGGATTTCCTTCCATTCCTTCTTGTGCATTACACTGAGGAAAGAAAAAAAAGTACAAATTTACAATGAGACCAAAAAAAAAATACATACAAAAGAATATGGAAAAGGCAAGAAAATTTGTATCTGATTAAGTTAGTAAGAAATGGGTACATAATTATGAAATGAAATCTGACCTCCACTGTTATCCAGAATGTCAATGCAGTCAAAACCGGGAAGATATACATACTATCAGGAGTGGTCAAATCAGTAAACCAGAATGCACCACCCTCTTTAAAAGAGGGGACTTTTTCAGCCATGTTACTAATCTGCATCACGATGATATATAAAGTCAAAACTCAAAAAAGTAAAAACATTAGCACAGAGAGAGAATGGGTTAATTGCGTTTTTCTGGTTAATTGCAAAATTCCAAACACTACAAAAAATGGTAGAGACAAGACAATCTTACAGCAAGGAAAAAGCTGACAAAGATAGGGCCTTGTATAAAAATTCCCCTAAAGGCGGAAAAGGGAGAAACTTTGTATCTGAAAATCCACATGCCATCTATCACCATAAGCATACTTCATACTGAAAAAAAAAAAACGTAAAATTCGAAAAGGTTGAACTAGAAGATGCATGTCATACTCATTGAATAGATCCTTCATCCGCTGCTGACCCTCATTTACAGCTGCCGGAGCCATGCCCTGATATTAAGCAAAACAATAACCTCTTACTTGTCGCTAAGGTGCACTATAGTAACGACTCTGATAATGAATGATAAGAAAAATCTTGTTCATATGAGAAAATAATTAATTACAAACTCGAATTCATTTATTTAAAAAATACTAATGTAACCATACCCGATTTTGCATCTCTTGTCTTATATCATCCAACTTTGGCCTCAAAAGCTGCAGAGACATGGAAGTCAATCATCAATTCATATTTAGGATAGAAAAATTAGGGTGTCTTTACTCTTTACCACAATTTTCAATTGCCTGTTTTCTATTTTCCAGTTTAAAAAACAATTTTTACCAAAACCCATTTTCCACATTCATTTTTCAAATTCAATTTTTTTAGACTATAACATTATAAAATTAATCACAAATACAAAATTTTGAGTGATTTTTTTAAAGCCGATATTACAAATATTTTCAGTTATGTTTAGTTTTAACAAAATACATATAATCTTTGCTTTCGAGTCTAGTATATATGAAATTTTAACATCTGATATCCAGAGCATATTCATATCTAGATAACAACATAATTGAAAATATCTGAACCAACAACATATTAGGTTTACCCAAAATCTAAAAATCAATTCAGATTTTGAATTTCAATTGGGATAAGTAGATGGGATATAGAGAAGATAGATGATAGTGGATAAAATAAGAAAATATGGTAATGATAAGGATGCTTGTAAATGAAATTATGTGTGCTTTTGCATCCGGAAAACAACAAAAAAGTGTTTTCCAAATTCCTTTGTTAAGTTAGATTCCATTGTCAAGTTTTTCATTTTTCCAAAAAAATATAAAATTTTGGCAATTAGTAAACACACAATTAATAACCAAGAATGCTTATAAAAAATTATTATTAAAAAAAAAAACCCAAGATTATAAATCAAGCAACAATCATCATCATTAATAACAAAACAAAGATGATCATCATTAAGGTAAGGCATGCATATAACTTACCGCTAATTTTGAAGTAGCTTTCAGCTGTTGTATCATCAACGGCAAAGTTAACCATCTAATTAAAAGAGTCGTACACACAATTGATGCCCACCTGAACAAAGATAAGTAACGATAAAACCAAACTCTATATTGCTTCTACTTCATCAACAATAACAAAATTCAAAATAAAACCAATCATAGTTGCATTTTAATGTACCTTATTAATGTAATATATAATTAGCTTCACTACTACATACACCATCCATTATCCATATCCCCTAAAAGTAAAGTGCCTAATTCCTTTTCCTTCTATAAACAAAGCAACCACACAATCAGCATAATCGAAAGCCATTCCACTCCAAATTCTCAAGTTCTTTCAAGTTTCAACTCGTAAAAAAAATGCGAATATGCGATATTATCTTACCAGTTAAATCCAGTAACACAATGAACATAGTCAATCAAATATTGCAAGGCAGCCACAGGTAAATACGAATCTGCAGCCGCAACTGCGACTTCATTCACCACCGGAGCTTGAGAAGCCACAGCTTCAACAGCCTTATCACTCAGCACTTCAGATATGTATTCTATCTTATTCATTCCCTCGCCAACGCTAGTTGACATATTCCTCATCCAAATGGGAGCCATGGCCCACGGTGGAGGAGAAAATTTCCGGTCTTGGAATGGGATTCTGGCGACACCAACGCCCAGGCTAATTCTATTCCCAAAGTAACAGTGCCGAAGATGAGTTAAAACTCTAGGGTTTTCCGAACTCGATTCGGGTTTTTTCCGATCATCGTCGTCGCGATGAATGTGAGAAATTGATGGGGCAAATCGTTGTTGGTCGTACAAAAGCTTCGCCCGAGTTGTTGTTATACTACTACGTCTGTAAGCCATTCTTGACTTACGCTCCTACAAACCGAATAGTAGCGGATCAAGAATATAAAGTTCAGATTTTTATACGCAATACAGAGCAAAAACCTTAAAATCTCAGATCTTCGTAAGGAAAGGATGCATAAAGACTGGCGAATTGAAATTGGGGATTTGAGGAAACCGACAAGAAGAGCTAAAGAAACACTTACAGGGGTTTATGGGAGGAGCATACCAGGAAAAAAACATGCGAGGAGGGTTTTGGGGGTTTAGGCAGTGACAGAACAGCCAAGTGTTCCGTACTTCCATTGAATATGCTCGTAGAAGTTTTTTTTTTTTTTTTTTTTTTTTTTTTTTTTTTGCAAAATCAAACCACCACTTCTATTACAACACGTTTGTTCACATAATGAATTTTGAGGTAATACGAATACTATTCCATAAAAAATGGAATAAGCAATGAATAGAATAAGAATTGTATTCTATTGTTTGATTCACGGAAGGAATAGACTTTAAGAATTATATTACAGTGTTTGGTTGATTTAATGAATAGAAATGAATTATGCTTTAAAATACATAAATACCCTTATAAAAATATGTGATGGTGGCGGTGGTGGTGGTGGCAGTGTCGTTGGTGGCGGCGGCGGTGGTGGCAGTGGCGATGATGGCGGTGGCGGTGGCGATGGTGATGGTGATGGTGGTGGTGGTGGCGGCGGCGGTTGTGGCGGTGGCGGTGGTGGTGGTGGTGGCGGTGGCGGTGGTGGGGTGGTGGTGCTGGTGCTGGTGGGGTGGTGGTGACGGCGGTTGTGGCGATGGTGGGCGGTGGTGGTGGTGCTGTTGGGGGCGGTGGTGGCGGCAGTGGCGGCGATGGTGGTGATGGTGGCGGCGACGGTGGTGGTGGCGGTGGCGGTAGTGAAATAGGAAATAAATTTAATTGGGGGTAAAATAGGAAATAGAAACTTTAGGCTATTCCTGAGAACTCAGAAATAGCCTAATACCAGGGGCCCCCCAGAATCTCTATTCCCCTTGCAAAGGGGAATAGGTCATTCTCGGGAACAATGTTCCTGGGAATACAAGTGGTTACCAAACAGAGGAATATACCTATTACTGAGAATGTTATGCCATTCCAGGCCTATTCCGTGAACCAAACAACCCATTAATTCAAATCATCCAAAAGAATATGCCAAAGAAAAGGACATATAAGCTACTCCTCACAACCTAACATAGAAATAGATTCCCTAGTCATAGTATGAACCGCCAAGTTTACAAATTACTTGACAAAAGAGAGACACATTAGAAAATATACTCAATCTATCTTTAATATCTAATAAAAGTAAATCAAAAGACGACTCTTCTAAGCCAGAACTGACACATGTACCACAACCAAAGCATCCAACTCAACAATAGCGTTATTCCAATTTAGCATTTTGAACCAACTAAGAGTTTCCCGAATGACGACTGCTCTTTAGGAGAATAGGCCCCCTCTAAAGAGTGCATTTGGCAGCCCTAAAAAAACCCTGAACATTGATCTCTAAGGATCCATCCAAGTCCCAACCTTCTTCTTGCTGAATCACCTATTGCATCCACATTTAATTTAAGCCACCCGGATTGAGGTCTTTCCTATTTGATCACTCCATTTACAAGAAGAGGCATACTGCTTTAAGATTCTTCCGTGACTTCCCTCTAATCTCTTAGGTATGACAATGTTCTCTATAATATATGCTCTGTTGTGGTGGTAACATTCATCCAAATCTTCTCATTCTTGTTAAGCCAAATATTTCTGCAGTTAATTAATTACACTCTCATCAAGAACATTTTTTTTTTTTGAAAGGAGGGAAAACTCCATCGGGTCAAAGCTCATATAGGGCATGGTCAGCCATCGGCCACGAGGAATGCATATCTCATCCAATTGTAGTAACTTTATGATGTCACTACTAAGATGCTTGAGGATTCGGAGAACTTTATCAAGCGTACTTAATGTCTTTGTTAAATTAGTCACCGCTTGGTTATGGTCCTAGTATATATGAGCCACACAAATGTTCGAACTTCTCTTAATCATGCTTCTACATTTTTTTAGTAGATTTGCAATAGAGTCGTGCACTTCCCTAGGGCCAATTTTTGGCATGTGCATAATGTTCAACAGTACAGGGCCTCAATTTAGATGGTCCAATATCTATTTTGACCTAGTTGCTTAAGAAATTTAAAAAAAAAAATCTGAAAATAAGCCCACATTCCTTCACGACCTCTTTCTATCTTGCTTAAAACTCATCAGTTTTTTTTTTTTTTTTTTTTTCACAAAAATCACACACCACCATTGGAGAGGACAAGATTCCCCTTCCTCCATTGATTTTACAACTTTCACCCAAATTTCTTTGATTATCAAAATCGCAATTCAATTTTTACTTCTCTCTCCTAATTAATTTAGCATGATTATATTTTCGGTAAGACCTCATTTATTACAAGAACGGGACAACTAAATTAAAAGAGGAATAAGGGTGAAATAGACCACTCAACCGTACACCAAAATGCAATTAGGCCATCGAACTAGAAAAAATGCAATTGGATCCCTGAACAACACAAAATCATACAGTTAGACCCAAATATAACCTGTTTACCTGAAAGGGCGGTTACCATTTTAAAATTAATTTTTAAAAATAATTTTAAATAACATAATTAATTAATTATTTAAAAAAAAAAAAACTAAACTGCCGACTGTCTTTGTGCTCCATCCATGGAGATGAAGCCGACCGACAGCCATGGAGACGAAGGTTTCCAGCCATGAAGACCTTCGTCTCCATGGCCAGGGAACCTTCGTCTCCTGACCATGGAGATGAAGGTTCCTCCGTATCCCTAGTCATGGAGACGAAGGTCTTCATGGTTGGAGACCTTTGTCTCTATGGCTGCCGGCCGGCTTCTTCTCTAGCCATGGAGACGAAGCCGGCCGGCAGTTTAGGTTTTTTTTTTTTTTTTTTTTTTTTTTTTTTTTTTTTTTTTAATTTAAATTAATTAATTATTTATTTTATTTAAAATTATTTTTAAAAAATAATTTTAGAATCGGTAACCGCTCTTTCAGGTAAACATGTCATATTTGGGTCTAATTGCATGATTTTGTGTTGTTCAGGAATCTAATTGTATTTTTTTCAAGTTTGATGGCCTAATTATACTTTGGTGTGCAGTAGAGTGGTCTTTTTTTTTTTGTTACTGGCCCTATCACATTGTAGTATCTGTTCATATACTTTCTCAACCATGGAAGTCCAACCCGGGTACCATTAGACCACATAGTCTTGGTTGCAGTAGAGTGGTCTATTTGACCCTTATTTCATTAAAAGACGACCCTGCATGTCCCTTCTTCTACATACTCTCATCCTTAATCGATCTAGTTTATCACCTTGCATGAATCAATCTTGATAAATTAGATGTCTTACACCTTATCTCCTGGGACCTTCAAATTCTATTATGAGTCTCCATAATTCCCGTTTTCAAGGATGGATCCAGAAAATTTTCTTAGTGGGAGTGAAAGATTAAACTAATGCGATATTTTGAAAAAAAAAATTGAAACACTTAGAGACCGAGTCATAAATATTATTGACTAGAGATGAAAAATCAAAATACATCAAGATGAAAAATCAAAATACATCAAGATAAAAAATATTTAAACCAAAATATAAAACATAATTAATTAGATAAAATAGTTTGAATGGAAAACACATTATAAATCACTCATTGCACTATTAATATTAAAAAAGATAAAATTAAAATAAAATAGAGAAGAAATCACAATGTTACAAATAAAAAATCTAATTAGAATTCTCACAGTTTTTTTTTTTTTTGAATGCTACTAGCTCTATTACATTGTAGTATCTGTTCATATACTTTCTCAACCTACTAAAACACAAAGAGCTAATAAGGTTCATATACTTTCTCAACCTACTAAAACACAAAGAGCTAATAAGGCCTCCATTGAGACTTGAACTCACAACCTTCCAAATGAAAGTCCAACCCAGGTACCATTAGACCACATAGTCTTGATTAAAAGACTCACGGTTAATATTAAAAAATATCAAAAACAAAATTTCACTCATCTCACTATTAATATTAAGAAATGAAAAAAAAAACTACAACATCAAATAAAAAATTACAAAATTTGATTCTATAGAGTTGAACATTAATGCATTATATATTTAACTATTAATGCATTATTATATTATTATATATTTAACTATTAAAAAGTACAGATCCAGTAACATATATGTAAAGTTATTATTATATTGTTTTAATAGTTATTATTATGTTTAACAAAGTACAGATCCAATAACATATATGTAAAGTTTATATTATCTAAATTATTCCTGAGTGGTAGATTGTAGACAAGGACATGCATATGATTGAACCATGTATAATCACATTATATTGTAGGAATTACACTATTCTCATCTAATGGGCCATTGAATCATGGAGGCAAGAAATTTTAATATTTGTGGGCAATAATAAATATTTTGATTACCATACCGTTAAACAAAAATAGAAAATATATTATTGGAATAGATATACTGATGAGCGGAACTGTATTTGAAAAACTGTGTATGTGTGTGTGTGTGTGATTGTTACCAGTAATTCATTAAGCCTATACAGACTACAGTACACACAATGAATAACGTAAATCTCTCTATACAAAATACAAAATACAAAATGCTTAATCAGAATTGAACAAACTTTTTCCGGCCACTGAAAATGTGGTCTAAGTACTGGTAGAGGATGCCAACGAAGTGGACGATAAGGACATCGACGAGCAGGGGGTATTCGTCCACGGGCTTTCCGGCGAGTTCCGGCACAGGGGGCAGGTGGCGTTGAGCTTCAGCCACTCATCAATGCAATCGGCGTGGAAGTAGTGGTTGCACTCCGGTATGCTCCTCAAACTCTCTTTCGCCTCGTACTCCGACAGGCAGATCGGGCAAAGTCCGTCGTTTGGTTTCGGAAGCCGCCGGCTCTCGCCCAGAACGGTTACCGGATACGACTCGATGGTTTGGCGGTCTAAACCGGCTATAGCTAGCGGTGGTTGTAGGGTGATGCCGCCGGTGGTGGAAAGATTCATCGACCTTAGACGGCGGTCCAGGCTGAAATCCCTAATTTTGCCGCATGCAAAGCAAACTAGCCCAATCATGCAGACTAGCCCCGGTATTCCTATGCCGATGGTGATTCCATACTTGATGCCACGAGGAATCCCTGTGTATTAAATACCACTATCACAATAATTAATATATATAGATGCATGAAAGTTTATAATCACTTTCAAGCTTAAGAAAATTTGAAAATTAAATCTAGCTCTAACAGGGTGTTTGGTTGGAGGGGGAATTATGTGGGAAATGAATTGTAATTCCATGAGAGTTGAATTACTGGGAATAAAGTGAGAATTTAAATTCCAGTGTTTGGTTGACAGGAATAAAATTACTGGGAATTTCAATTCCAATGTTTGGTATACATGGGAATTGAAAGGGAATAAGTAGTATAAAGTCAAAAATGTCCATTATTGTTGTTAGACATTAATTTTAGGTTAAAAAGGGAAGGGGTAATTTTGACTTATCACTATCTTTTTTTCCCAGGAATTAAAATCTCAGGGGGACATGGGATTTTATTTACATGAAAATGGGGGAATTGCAATTCCATGGAATTGCAATTCCCTCCAACCAAACTACGGAATTTAATGATCTTTGGAATTAGGTGGGAATTAAGTGGGAAGGGAATTTAAAATCCCTCCAACCAAACGCCCTGTAAAGGGGATGACTGAGTATATGGAGCATAATTTTTGTATTAGAAGATCACGAATTTGATTCTTATCAAATACTGCATGCACATGTCTTCCTAATGTTATTTATTACCTCTCTTGTGTGGTAAATATGTGCGGATTTTCCTTATCGTCAGCCAAAAAGTAAAAGACTAGAGTTTAAATCAATTCTTCAAAGTAAAAGTTGTCGGAGAAATTCAAAATTATGTTTGCTAAATCAAAAATCTTTCAAATTTTGACTTAGCCGTCGAAAAGTTTTTGACTATCCGAAACAGTTATCTTGAAATTAAGTTTTGTATTAAAGTGATGACCTTTTTTTGACCATATCATCTACGGGGGTTAAAAAATGTAAAAATTTCGTTCACTTTTTAAGTGACTAGAAATAGTCGATTTTCTTATTCTTCTACTCACCCCTACACTTCAAACCAACAAAAAAAAAAAAAAAAAACAAACATTTCTCCCTTTTTAGGGTTGTTTCTTGACAATAGTAGATCAAGGGGTATTGTGACATATTTAGGTAAAATAGGTTAAAATTAAAGCTAAGATAGGAAGCTATCGAAGAAAAAAAAAACTTAAATGGACTCAAACTAATTAAAATTATTATAATTTTTGTAAAAATGATATAATAAAATTGTTATAGTTTTTTTTTTTTTTTTTTTTTTTTTTTTTTTTTAGTACTATTGATTCTCTATTACAATGTAGTACTTTTTATATATTTTCTCTATCTGTTACAAAGAGTCAATACTCTACTACCAAAATTTGATCCTGTGATCTTCCCTCCAGGAGAATGACATAGGTGTCATATGAGCACAAGATGCTTGTCTAGTAGTTATATCATTACCTAAAATTGTTATAATATTTTATCATCACCTAATTAACTTTTTCTTTTAAATTACAAATTTAAGTACCTTGATTTATACATTGAAAAGATTACATATAAACAAATATATAATTTTGAAAAGGAATAATGCCAATAAAAATTACAACCTCTCACTCTCACCTACCCACTAATTAAATATCTCTTGACTGCTTCTAATTACTACTACATACCCACAATTATATATTATATACTATAATTCAATATTTTATTTTAATTATCAAAACCACTCCACTACGACACAGACCACGTACCAGCTAACCTTGTTTTTGCACTCTTTTTTCTCACGTAAGATACTAACAAGACAATTAAGGTCTAACCATAAATGCTAAAATATTCATAGCAACTTCCTCTGTCCCTTTCCTACAGCTTATCTCATTATTATCTAAATCCCTTCTTTTGACTCGTAAACCTAAAGTTACTAAATGCACGCATCTTAATTAGAACCTTAATTTTCTTGTGTCTATACGATGTATTGGTCTGTAAATTTCATTTGGAGGTTGTTGGTATGGTCCGGTCTGATTTAGGTAATCAGTCCGGACAAGTTGCGATGATTTGGTGAGACGCGGAATGGGTCTATAAGAATCGTGCCTATTTAAAATTATTAAAAGAGTTACACCAATCCCGAAGATTTTTATTATTGGAATTTGTTTTCTTTAATAGAATTTAAAGTTACATACTAATAAACGTTACTTTAAATTAGTCAATCAACTGATAATTATTATAAAATTGGGTTGGAATCTTAGGGCTTCTAACAATAGTTGTGTACTAAATAATGAGTGGGGAGTGTCCCTATCAATAGTTATACCATGGATCCAGGTCCACCTTGTTAGATGGATCCATCACAATTTATATATGGAATGTTTACAATTTATATACTGAATGTTCACAATTTGAATTGTGAACATTTAGTTGTGAACATCCAATATATAAATTGTGAACATTTTTAGTATGTAAATTGTGTATTTTAGACCCGGATTCACATTGCAAAGTAGACTCGAGTTCATAAAATAATTTGCCGGGCCCTAGTGAATTCAACCCACGTCATTTTTGAGAGGGTTGTAAAATTAAAGTGGCTAAAATGGTAATTTTAGAATAATTAAAATATTTAAATTATATCGGTTTCATCAATTTTATATGAAATATTTTCTATTTAAATAATATACTGTTTTAATAGTTTTAATTACAATTTATCTAAATGATCTCTCGAAAAACGGTTAAAGTGGTAACTTCTCACCAACACACCCTAAAACTAGTTGAAATGCCTAAAATTGGATTAAATGTTTCACTACCTACAAAATATGCATATGTTTTGTTTTTTTAAATCAAGAAAATTTTGGAGCACTAATTCTTCTAATACCAATTAACAATAAACTAAATAAGTTTGACTCTAACGAGAGTCACTTATTATTATTATTATTATTATTTTGAACTGATCAACTATAATTAACTTAGGTTAATTTGACTTATTGTGATCCTTTGCCGATTATAGTCAAATTGCAAGATTTACTCACTGTACGTAATTGCGAGTTTCTTTGTTATGGTAAAAAAAAAAAAATGAAATAAGCTGGGAAAACATTTACCTTTGGAAGGGCGTTTGGAACAGACAATATCACCGCCGGAATCACCCCTGAAGCCGCAGAGCTGATCATCAGCTTCACAATTCCGGCAGTCCGGCGTATCCCACGTTAACTGCAGTTGCTTTAAAGGTCCCCAGAACTGATAAAAAACATCCCAACTCAAAGGTATTGTCACGTTCTTCTTCACCGACCGACATGCCGGCGGCTTTTCCCGGGCATACGCCCGAGGAGTCATCGCCCACATCGTATTGTTCGAACTCATGTCCTCCCGGCAGAACAAAGGGATCGCATGATAACCCGTGTACTCGCTCCAATCTCTGGAACACCGCAAGATCGTGTAGCGCTGCGACGACGCCCCCCGGAACGCCGTGCCGGCGAGGCTGAAATTCAGCAATTTCTTGCCGGGGCAGAAATCTGGGTCGTACAGATAAACGATTTGGGACATGTAAACGATTTCTGACACCGCAAACTCGCCGGACTTGGGGAGTGTGAGAATCGTCTCCCCTCTGGCGTTGCAGGTAAGGTCGAATCCCCGGTAGCCGCACCGGGCCGGCTGCCGGCCTTTTAGCCGGAAGGGGAACCGGATTTCCGGCCCCATGTCGTTACAGGAGACCGGCCGGCAAGCATCATCGGCCGCCGAAGCAGATGAGATGAAGAGAAGGATTGGAAGAAAGAGTAGGTGTGTGGATGAGGCTGCGGCGAACATTTCTCCGGAATTATTGTTTTCTTGCTCTTATTGTCGTATGGATGAATGAGCTCATTAGGGAATAGGGATTGTGTAAAATCTAAGAGATTTAATTTGGGATTTTTATTTTATTTGGGTAAAGTTCGAAAAGATTAAAATGATGGCAGCTAACATTCCTAACAACAGGCAGACCGTTTCAGTATACGGAGTATTATAGGCCGGATTCTATTCTAGAAGTGTTGTCAAGAAGCCACTTCTATTACTTCTGTGGACCGTACTATAATAAACAACACAGCAAATTATTCCTCGACAAGGTGGAATCGAGTTCAGAATACATAATTTATCTATTAAATGTTCATAATTTTGTAAAAGGTAAATTGTAAAATTTAATATGTAAATTATGAACATTTAGTATATAAATTGTATCTTGGACTCAAGTCTACCTTACAAGGTATAGTAGACCAGGTCCATAGTATAACTATTGAAACAAGACCCGGCAATTTATATCCTACACCACGGCGCGCGTTGCAATATGCGCCCAGATGCAAAACGACGTCGTTTTAATTTTTTTTTTTTTTTTTTTGAAATTTCCCGCCCCAGTGAATGACAGTAGTTTTTTTCTTTAAAAAAAATCCGCTGTTCAAGAATGTACATAATGTTATACTAGAATACACATAATTGTATACATGAATGTACATAATTATATAACAAAATATACATACTCTTTTTAAAAGATAATACACATAATCTAACATATAATACATAATAAACATAAACTTTAACATAATACACATTAACTATTAACATAATACACATAAATTTTCTGATTCGGATGTACATAATTGTATAAAAAGAATGTACATAATTGTATAAAAAATGTACATAACTGTATGAACCAATACACATAACTGTATGAACAAATACACATAACTGTGTGAACAAATACACAATCCCAGCAACTTCCTACCGCGCCTCCCAAAACGACCCCAAAACGACGTCGTTTTGGGAGGCGCGCGGCGCACAGTGCTATGTGCGCTGTGGTGTAGGGTATAACGATTGAACAAGACCCATAAGGCTATCAAATCATTATAGTATAGACCATCTGTTCATATTATACATTAAAAATAAATTTTTAATATACTAAAAATGAACATTTATTACTTATTAATAATCTTAGTATTATCAAAGCGAATTGGTCCGCCCCACTGTGGATCTAATTTTTTGCGAGTTTTTTTGCTGGTCATAAGGTAAAAATTAATACCTCACTTCGGACGTTCAGAGTTGGACAAGGCAGTGACTAGCGTTCGGATTTTAGCAATCGACGATTTGCTGCAAATACCCTGTGATGAAGCCGATGATGTCTTTGTCTTTCACTCTTTCGTTTTTGCAAAAGTGTAGCCAATGGTGTACTAGAGTAGGAGGGTAGGTAGTCGTGATATTGTGGACCGCGGTGTACGTGCACCGCGGTAAAAAAAGACATCATTTCTTTAAGTAAAGAAACGACGCGTCGTTACCGTTAACAGAATGTGTATTTTTTGTGTATTAATTACTAACTGAAGCTACAATGTATCTAAACTGACACTGCCTCACGTATTATTTTTATATTATCAAGTGAAACTGCAATTGAAATGAAATGAAACTGTAGTTGTATTGAAATGAAATTGCAGTGTATACAAAATGAAATTGAATAACAATTTCACATATTTGAGTGTATATTACCCAGCAAAACTGTAGTTATATCAAAATTATACTATAGTTGTGTTGAAATGAAACTACAATGTATATAAAATGAAACTGAGTAACATTTCACATATTTGAGTGTATATTGTGCAATGAAGCTGTAGTTATATCGAAATGATCATGTAGTTGTGTTTTAATGAAACTATAGTGTATATAAAATAAAATTAAATAACATTTTCACATATTTGAGTGTATAAATATCGAATGAAGCTGTAGTTATATTGAAATAAACTGTACTTGTGTTGAACTGAAACTATAGTGTATACAACATGAAACTGAATAACAGAGTTACATTTTGCGGAACAACGCGGAATGGCGGAAAACATGTGTCGTTTCTTTCATTAAACAAAACGATGTCGTTTTGAAGCTCGGTGCATAATCGATTATGCACCACGATTTAGGATATAATTCGCCGAGTGTAGGACGGTAGTCTGTAAGATGTATTATGGAGCTTAGGGTTATGGATTTTTTTTTTAAAAAAAAATTAATTACCTGGCCCAAGCTCGTTAGGCCCGCGTTTTTGCAATTCTTAATTTCAACCCACTTCGCTGCGAGGCCGCAAATTATGGCAAATTATACCGTGCACCAAGGCGCACAGTGCATTGTGCGTCCTAGCCCAAAACGACGTTGTTTTGATATTTTTCGCGTGTTTGCTGTTAACCCCTTAGCCTGGTACGTTCCTATGAAGTGCTTGAAAAAAGAGAAAAGAGGAGAGGAGCAGCCAACATCAAGTGTTCATCTTTCATGATAAGGAGGTAATCATGTTTGTTACTGTTTTTATACATTTTACACTTTCATAAGTACTCACCTACTGAAACACAAAGAGTCAATAACGCCTCTACTGAGGCTCGAACTCACAACCTCCCATATAGGAGTCTAACCCGGGTGCCATTTGTGCACAAAACAGGGCACGGTCCTTCATTCAAACATTCCAAAAGAGTTTGTAGAGAAATATTCTGCTATGCTAAAAATAGGTAAAGTGTATTCAATCAGAAATTTCATGGTAATTAGTAATTTCTACACATACAAGACTAGTCCACACAAATACATGTTGAAGTTATACTACAAGAAGTTGTGAGAGAGCTAAAGGACACTGTTTTCCCAAACCATATGTTTCGATTGCAGCCTTTGTCATATTTGAAACAAAAAATGGATATCAATGAAAAAGAACTGATTGGTAAGTTTTAAACAACTCTAAATGTTTCCACTTTACTATTTAAGTTTGGTCTAACTTTTCTTCATATTTTTTTAGATTTAATTGGCATGATGGTTGAGATAAATATCCCCCAAGACAAGGTCATCGCTGGGAAGGCTACCAGGCTCGTTGATTTCCTATTGGAGGATACAGAGTAAGCTATTAATATCTTAATATAATTGCATTGAAGCAAAACTGATCTCATAGAAACTTTACCAATCATGTTTCTTTGATTAGGGGTACTCAAATCAAATGCACAGTTTGGGACGATTATGTCTCCAAACTGGAGCCATTTTACCAGTCAACAAAACAGGACCCTCTTATAATTCTGCTACAGTTTTGTAGAGTCAAAGTTGATATGAACAGTAAGATCTAAAATTCCTGAAATCAGTCATTGGTTTAACTAATATTTAATATTACATACTATGATTCTTATTCATAAAAAATTCTACTCTTAACAGTTGGTGATATAAAGGTTTGCAGCAGCTTTGATGTTACCCAAATTTGGGTTAATTATGATTTTCCAGAGTTTCAAGAATTCAGAGAGAGGTCGGTAACACAGTTTCAGGACACAATTTGTTGGATTATAAACACAAATATATCATTCTGTATGTAAAAAAAAATTACTCACAGGCTAAAAGAAGAGCAGACACCAATACGTAGCATAGTTTCCATGTCTAGCATGAGCTACGTGATATGTTCACGAGTTATACTTCTCGTTATGGGTCTGTGAGAGATAGAGTTTGAACGGTTGGTTCTGTTCTTCCCAATCGTGAAGAAGGGAAAACAGAATGAGAGAAGAGAGAGTTGGGGAGAAGTTGGAGGAAGAAACTTCCTTTTGATTTTATTAAATTTCCAACTTGTCTTTCAATCATATATTGCTGTCCTATTTAAGGACTACCAACATAATTAACTAAGGAATGAAAGATAATTACCAACTATAAAGAAATTCTGAAATAATACTAATTGAGATAAAAAAGTAAAGAGAATAAATCAGATTGCTTAAATCAAGAGTGCCGATTTGTGAGATTTGCGCCCTTTTGCAGTAGTACTGTTGACCAACGAATGCATCATCACCCCCGTCCTGGAGATCAAGCTTGTCCTCAAGCTTGAAGTAGGTGACAACGTTCAGGTTGAATTCAGGTGATGCTATCGCGTGCGTCCAGATTGAATTCAGGGAAGTCCTCCGTGGATGCAAGCCCACCAGGCGGTTCTTCACCATCCTCTAATGTCCACAACATAAAAAGGTTGCGGCATTTATGACCCAGAAATTTTTTTTCATCACAATTGTAGCATAAGCTTTTGGCCATGCGCTCGGACTTTTGTTCGTGTGTGAGGAATTTATATTTGGGTTGTTGTGGGTTGAGTGATTGACGTATGGGTAATGGAACACGGGCGGATGACGGGGCATTTTGTGTACTAGCTTGTGGAGGGGCAGGCTTGGATGACAAAAGGCCTAACAAGTGGCACTTGCCGGAAAAATCCTTGGCTGTGTTGATGGCTTCATTTAGGGTTGTTGATTTTGTGCGCTCCACGTCGATACGGATTATTTCATCTAATCCGCTAGTAAACAGATCTACTCGCTGGTTGGGTTGTACTGTACCTGCCCTCACTAATAGCGTGCGAAATTCTTTGACATACTCGTCGATATGTCGTCCTGCTTGAAATAGCTGTTTAAGTTCACCTAAGGCATTAATGCTGCGTGGTGGCCCGAAGCTGAGACAACACTCTTTTTTGAAGGCAGCCCATGAGGATAATTGCATCAACTCTACTTCAGAATGGTACCATAATTGGGCTTCTCCAACCATATGGTGTGAGGCAAAATTTATTCGATCCGAATCCTGAATGTTGGCATTTCGAAAATAGGATTCACAACGTAGCATCCATACAAGTGGATCTTCATCTCTAGAGAACAATGGAAAGTCCATTTTAGCATATGTAATGAGGGAGTGATTGTCATCTGGTGTTTCCTGGATAGTAGAATCCCTTTCCAGATGGTGCACTGTTTCTGATTTAGCTTCGGAGACTGGTGTTTTGCCCTGAGCAATCAAAAGTTGTTTCACCATTTTTTCCAGATTAGCAAGGGAAGCTGCTTATTGGTGTTGTGTTGCAGAAAGGGAAGACATAGTGGCAGAGAGGTTCTCAATTTTGTCAGCATAAACTTCATGGGAGTGAACAGATTTCTGCAGTGCCTTGAAAGCAGGATACTCAGTGATGTTACTGCCCATAACGCCGGCAACGGGAACCAAATTGATATGTTCACGAGTTATACTTCTCGTTATGGGCCTGTGAGAGACAGAGTTTAAACGGTTGGTTTTGTTCTTCCTAATCGTGAAGAAGGAAAAA